TGCCCTAACCACCTGGCCATGCCGGGCCATCAACATGTGAATATCTTAAGTTTTGGAAAATCTTATTGATATAATAATAAAATGCGTTGTTCTATTGTATCGTGTATATGAACGATTTTAGAAAGAATTAGGCAAACAAAAGAACAGGAAAATGTTTGGAGTAATATGCGACACAATACTTCAACTGATTTTATTATCATACTTAGCTAATCATATTTCCCATTTGTTTTATGGATTGTAATTAACATTAAAAAATATACGCGAAAATTATCGAACAACGAGAAATTTTCGAAATTAACAACTATGTTATCAAATCATTATTACGAAGGCAGAGTTGCGTTAAGACAATATATTAACGATGTTTTTCTTTCTGTACAAAGTTCTATGCTGTCGTCCTGCTGGCCGTTTGTAGTATCGCTCGAAGTGGACATTCATACCGCTACAACACCGGAACATCTTCCGTAAATGTGAACCAAGAATACGGCCTACCCTACACCGGCCATTACGGATTTCACAACTACGCCAAACCTGTTTACTACACTGGCTACCGTACCCTTCCCTACAACCTTCGCTACAACAATGGGCTGGGATATACAGGTGTGGGCTACAACTACGTCCCACGTTACTATGGCGGTTTAGGCTACAACCAAGGGCTGAATCATTACGGTTACGCTCGAAAACCAGCATACTATTCATCTTACAATTACTTGTATTAAAACAGGGGTAAGTTTATAACCATATATATATATGTACAGTTACTGCATAAAATTCAAACATCATTAAAATATGTACTTACATGAAGCACTCTACAATTAAATACGTTTATGTTTAATTTACTAACCTTCGAATTCAGCCTTATTTGTAAAAGTACTGAGATAATACTGAATAGAAGGCGTTCATTGTACTTATAATCCTTTTAATTAATAATAGGTTGGCAAAACAACAATTTATAAGCATAATGAAGAATTTTATTGATGGTGGAACATTATCACCCTTTAAATTAATAACTTATTACATATTTCTACACTTTCCACCATCAATATAATTCTTCCTTATGCTTATAAATCCTTGTATGCCAACCTATTATTATATTAGCGTAATATGCTTCCTTATTCAAGTATCTCTTAAACTTTCAAAGTATTCGGTCTAACAATACAACCTGTATTTAGAATATTTCAATTAAAAATCTGTTTTAAACATTGTCGTGGTACGAAGCTAGAGGTCCTTTCATGTTTTATTTTTGTTTTCCTTTATAGGGCCAGAAGAAGCTGCCTATCAACTGAAAGCATCAGATAACCCTCATTCACATTAATATGGTGTTAAAGTGGATATTCTTCTTTATAGAATATGTATTTCTTGAGATGTTAATAAAAAGGATATGTTAATAATGGTAGTGACTTTTTTCGAAAGTGAAATCTGGTGTATGAGATTGGATTTAATAAAATATGTTGTTGAATAATTGAAAATAAGACAACCTTTTCTACTTTTTTTAAACCTTAAGGTAGGCTTTGAGGTAGTGTGAAATATTGTTGAATTAATCTAAGTAAATCAGTCAAAGAGATTTTAAATTTTTGTGGTTAGAGAGTTTAACTTTTAAATAAAACTATTCCGAACTTTTCTAAAACAGCACGCTCGGTCAGTACTTCAGCTCTTTTTAAAACTTAATTCAGATTTAAACTCAAACTCTAGAATATTTTAGAAGAAGAATAAGTAAATGTAAGTTGATATTACCCGTTTACCATTTTATCGTAAAGAAGTTTGAAAGTTAAAGGATGATATACGAACAACATATTTAACCAGTTCGAGATTAGTAAGGGCTATTTGCTGAATGACAGTGCATATAAATTATTTTCCTTGTAGTTTGTGTAAATTAATAGTCCCTGTAGGTTGTGTGAAACAAGGGTCCCAGTAGTTTGTGTAAATTAAGGGTCGTTTTAGCTTGTGTAAAAGGTCTCTGTAGGTTGTGTAAATCAAGGGTTCTTGTAGGTTGTGTAAATTAATCAGGGACCTTTAATTTACACAAGCTACAATAAACCTTGATTTACACAACCTACAGGGATCTTTTACACAAGCTAAAACGACCCTTAATTTTACACAAACTACAAGGACCTTTAATTTACAGAAACCACAAGGACCCTTAATTTACACAAACTACAAGGACCTAGGTTGTGTAAATTAAAGGTCCTTGCAGTTTGTGTAAATTAAGGGTCCCTGTAGGTTGTATAAATCAAGGATTATTGTAGGCTGTGTAAATCAAGTGTTCTTGTAGGTTGCATAAATTAATGGTCCCTGTAGTTTTGTAAATTAAGGGTTTGGTATCACGACGGTTCCCATGTAGTGTGTGATTGTTTTTATAGAATATATAGATACTTTCTTGCTACGGTATAAATATGTGATATGGTAACCAAATAATTAGTTGATGCTTTTATGTTTCTGTTATATACACATAATAATATATAATATGCTTTGAACCGTTTATCAAACACTCATAGCTGGTTTCATTTTTTTCTCTTATATCTTTCTCCGTAAGCCTAAAATCTGTTCATTCTACCATTTCTATGGAAACAATAGGAATATACCTTTAATTGTTTCCCTTATAAACATAAAACCATACATCCAAAACCTTATTTTATGTTTCAAAAGTTATCGGTTCTGTTTATCATTTTTCAAGATTATGTACTCTGTTTCCAAATGTGTATAAACAAACACTACAGTTATATTGAATTTAAAATCCAAATGAATCTGAGCGTCAAACAAAACCACCAAAATATTTATTATCATTTGTAATGTAATTAAAGAAGCAAGACAAAGGTAGCCTCACTTATATATAAGAGAAAAATAAAACTATGGTAACTACATCAGAATGTGGTATCTGATGGATAAACCTCGCTTATAGTCTCTGTTTACAAAACTTGAACGTGGAGATTAGAAATATAAACAGCCTATCAGACACCAAGAAACAGCGACCAAAGGTGTTATATCGAAGGTGCTAACTATATATATAACATATAACGAACATCATAGATTATAATTTGAGGTAAAATAAATTTATACTATAACTCATACCCTTTCTATATGTATTGCTATGTATTATATATATATATATGATCCTATGGTTAAAATGGCAGAGACTTGAAAATTACAGATTTACCAAAAGACAAAAACAAAACTTCAAGATAATGCAGCAAAGATTTATCAAAAAACTGAAAAAAAAACATAGATTCTCAGACTTCAAATATTTAATTAGTTTTGTAATTTTCTGAATAATTTAAATCCGTATAAATGCATTAATACGTTTGAGTATCTTGTGTGGCACACAAGGGCTCACCGGGAAGTCTGAGGGCTTATGATGCTAAAAATCTGAATTCGGTACCAGCGCTGGGCAGATCGGAGATAGCAGAATGTGTAGCTTTGTACTAAATAATGAAACAAAATAATTTCAATGTGAGTTTATAGAAACATTTTGTATCATCCGATGCTGTCACAAAAAGAATTTGACCTTTATTGTAATACGAATAACACTGCTATCACAAAAATAATTTGGCCTTTATTGTAAAACGAATAACACTGCTATCACAAAAATAATTTGGCCTTTATTGTAAAACGAATAACACTGCTATCACAAAAAGAATTTGGCCTTTATTGTAAAATAAATAACACCATTGTCACAAAAGAATTTGGTCTTTATTATAATACGAATAACACTGATGTCACAAAAAATTGGCCTTTATTGTAATACGAATAACACTGCTGTCACAAAAGAATTTGGCCTTTATTATAATACGAATAACACTGCTGTCACAAAAAATTTGGTCTTTATTGTAAAACGAATAACACTGCTATAACACAAAAAGAATTTGGCCTTTATTGTAAAATAAATAACACCATTGTCACAAAAGAATTTGGTCTTTATTATAATACGAATAACACTGATGTCACAAAAAATTGGCCTTTATTGTTATACGAATAACACTGCTGTCACAAAAAGAATTTGGCCTTTATTGTAAAGCGAATAACACTGCTGTCACAAAAGAATTTGGCTTTTATTATAATACAAATAACACTGCTGATACAAAAAATTGGCCTTTATTGTTATACGAATAACACTGCTGTCACAAAAAGAATTTGGTCTTTATTGTAAAAGGAATAACACGGCTGTCACAAAAAAATTTGGCCTTTATTATAATACGAATAACACTGCTGTCACAAAACAAATCTGGCCTTTATTGTTATACGAATAACACTGCTGTCACAAAAAGAACGCCCCCCCCCCCAGTAGCACAGCGGTATGTCTGCGGACTTACTACGCTAGAAACCAGGTGGTGGGCAGAGCACAGATAGCCCATTGTGTAGCTTTGTGCTTAACTTCAAACAAACAAACACAAAAATAATTTGGCCTTTATTGTAATACGAATGACACATTAACACTATAACTATAATGCCAAAAATATTTTTCTAAATCTTACCTTGAAGATTCTCTAACCTTGATCTACAAAACGTAATAGTGTTAGAAACATACGCCCAAACATTTTTACTTCACTGTAGGTAAAATATAATCTTGATAGCGAAGAATATAGAAAATTTCTAAGTGTCCTTCATATCCTGAAAAGCGTCTTTTTCTAACCTTCTACTCTTGCTCAGAGTAACTGCATCAGAAATTTGTTTTTGTGTCTAACACAATAAACTTGTCATCTTTTCTGACCTAGTTTGTTTGACGAAGGATGAAATGCACGTTTTCAAGACTGAAGATTATTGTCAAGCCTCCTTCGTTTGACATTATCGTTGATCAATCTTTAATATTACGAAATAAATTTGGTATAAATATAAGAGGAAGAACCGTCCCTTCACATCAAATCCAAGTCTTGAATATACAGTCTGTGTTTCTGGACAGAGATCGTTCTTATTTCTCAACATTATGAAGGTGGTAAGTATGATAAATACATCAGTAGACAGTTTTAGCCTTGTTGTTATCGATTTCAAATATTCCTTTAATGTTATACAACTTTACATATAAGATCTTTTACCCTAGTTCAATACTTTATAGTGTTGTAAAATCTGAAAAGGTTATATATATATATCTCAGATTATGGTTTTACTCTATAAGGATTAAATCTACCTTATTTCATGCTTGAAGTTATTCATTCAAAGAAGTTCGATAAATTACTGAAAATATCCAATTTCTCATCAAGCTTCGAATTTCTACGTAATTCTAATATGTTCACTCAGTTTTCATCAGTAGATAATTCAGCCCCAATGTCGACCAATACTTCTACTAAGGCATTATTCTATGTTCAATAAAGTTCCACTTTTTAAGGTAAATAAAAGTTATCTGAGAAAATATTAAGAACTTTTACCAAAACAACATAGATAGATTCTATAAACTCTTTGAAATTGTAAATTGTAAGTATAAGGTTGTAGAAATAAAGACAGATCTTAGCTTATACTTAAGATTTTAAGGACACTAATATTCTTGGCTATATATAGGTCGTTGCCGTTCTCCTGTTTGCC